GCTCCACCAGCTCTTGAATTTAACTTGCATACGAGCAGTCTGATCTGTAACGGATTTAGCTATGCAAAAGGAAAAATCCTCTTTGGGTTTGGCCCAAAACACAGCAGTATACAAGTACCTGTGCTGCCACTGCCTCTGCATTATCAGTGCCCCTCACACAGGGCATATTACCCTGTYAGCAGATAGGCTGGTTATTTGATGGTTATCTGCTGGGTCGGTATCACTCCTAAAGGAAAGTCCAGTGAGACAAACAATGAGTTTAGGCAAGACCAGGTAGGGGGTCAGAACTCCCCGGTTCAAGTCCTGCGGCTTTAACCACAAAGTCACCTTTCAGCATAGAGATCAGCTGTTCCAAGAGCCAACATTGCTGTCAGAYGGGCACCACAGGCAGGTCACACATTAAGAAAGTGTGCATGGAAAGATTTCCCTCTGCAGGCATTCAGGTCAGCTAGCACCACACACAGGAAGCTGTAGAACCATATTCCATATTCTTAACATACTGGTGAGAAGCTGATAACAGGGTTTTGGTTTTACTGAGCCAGTCATTAAACAGTGCTGGTCCCACATTACAGAGAAATAGGTTGCAACACAGAGTAAAATGGATCATCTTGAAGTATTTACCTCTGGATATCTGTAATTATAAACCTAACATCATCAGCTTTTCTCTCTCCCTGCAGTAAATAATTAACTGCAAAAGAATATTCCTCTTGGCACCATCCTCCCCAATCAATTCTGCTTTGCAACAATGTGCCGCCTGGATTGCTCGCTGTATCAGTGCCCCGAGTGTTACCCAAACCCCCTTGAAAGACAGRGCAGAGGTGAAACTGTTCAGTACAGAAGAGACCTTTCCTTCAGGGTACAAGGGGGCATCGTGGCATACATCCCAGTACTTCAAGCAGACAGCTATGACATACACAGCTTAGCTCATGCACTGCTGCAACATCACTGCAACCATCAGCGGAGGCGAATCACGCACTCTGAGCACTCCCATCACACCCCTCTGGACTGCCTGAGCTTTATTGCCAAGGCAAAGCAAATTTCCTCCCCTGATATACAAGGGTTTTCTGTTCCTTTCATTGTTTTTTAAATATCCTCCCCACCCCTAGATTTCATGCAGGGGTAAAAAAAACAAAACAACCAAACCACAAATCAAATCAAGTCTTCATAACAGAAAATTAATTTTTAAGAAACTTTAATCTCTGACTACTAGATCCAAGTTGAAGATTATGACTGCTCTGTCATGCACTATAACCTGAACWATGACCTGTTCACCTCTTGCCACCTACCCTCATCAACCTGAATTTCATACAGACTCTGCAAGTAAAAAGTAAACCAGAAAACATTCAGCACACTCGTTCCTTTTGCCCTACTGAAAGACACCTCCTGGCTGTAAACCCAGCAGAGAAGAAGGATGATGCCAGGAGGAAAACAAAATTGCCTGTCAGGAAGGCTGGGTTTGGTCARACAGCAGATGGAAGCAGGCTGCATACAGATACACAACCAGTGAACACAAGGTCTGCCATTTGATCCTGGTTGATTTCTTAAGATACAAAGTCAAATTCACTTTTGAAAAACGCATAAGAAGAACACAAGCAAAAATGAGAGCTCGGAAAAACCTCCAGAATTGCAGGAACACCCTTCCTGCAACAGCCAGAAAACATGGGGAGAGGCAGAGAAGCACTACCACCAAGCAAATATCTTCATACTCAACACACAGTCTGGGTTTAGTTTTACATTTTTACGGGTTTAAACACATACCAGATTTAGTTGAGTTGACTATGAAGTGCTCAATAAAAATCTCCACCAGGAAGGTAGAGAAAGAGAGGGAAAAAAGGCTAATTTAGACTAAAAAATCATGGAAAGAAGTTCAAGAAAGGGGTTCAAGAAAGAGGCAGAAGAAAGAATGGAAAGAAAACCATGACACAAAAGAGATAAATGAAACAGATACCAGGAACAGTTCAGGAAAAGATAAACCATGCAAAAATGGAATGAAAACTGGAAGGGAAAGATAAGAAAACGAGGAAAATGCCATGGCAGATCAGTTGAACAGCAGCTGGCAAATAGATAATTTATTTAATCTCATCTGTATTTGTCAAATAATTTCATTTGTTTTATTAACACTCTTTTATTGTCTTCAACCAGGTATAGAGCTGATCAAATAAGTCATAAATACATTATTGAATTAATACAAGTAAAATTCAAATATGTTCAACATTTTTACCTCCTGCTTAATAAGCTCTGGTTCTAACTTTACAGTTCAAAAATGTTAAAAGAGAAAGCTGGTAATAAATTACAGTTAAAGATTACTTGAAGCACAACCATTTTGCTTTTCCTAGACTGACAAAAATACAGTATACTATATAACTCATCTTGAGAGACAGGAGACATTTTTACCTTCATCATCCTCCCAGAAGGAATCCCTCTCTATAGGCAGTACTTTTTGTCTTTATTTTTTTTGAATGTTTGCCCTTCAAACAGGGTTTTTCACCCCAAGAAAACCTGGTGAGCTCCAAGAGCAGCCTAAGAGAAAGGTAAATTTTGGGGTACACCAGTACCAGGAGGCAAAGCAGTGGGAGCCATATCCAGCCTGGAAGCAAATGCTTATTTTGTGAGCTGAGCTTTGCTCCTCTTAGAAGGAAGTCAGATGAAAGATGGACAAGGATGCCTCAGGATCTCTACTCATACAGGGAAAAGTTTCCCACATTATCAGCAGCCCTTTCCAAACCTCCCAAGGAGAACCAGGGGAAAAAAAAAGAAAAAAGTAAATTGGCAGTTTTTCAGCCTGCTTTTCTTCCCCCTCCCCCAAAGCAACAGCAAGGTCCCCTTGAGACGCCTCAACCACGGGGTGAAAGCCACCAAGACAAACCACCACAGGCGTGGTGGCAGGGCTGCCAGGGAGCCCTGGGAAGCACCAGCAGGCTCAATAAGGAAACCGTGGCCAAGGCTTTCTAGGCCGACATCAGAGGAACACGAGGCTACTCCCACTGCTGCTCTACCTTCACCACTGGCAGCAGCCAAGAATCAAACTTGCCACAGGAGAGAACCACACCAAGGGCAACTCCCTGGGGCCAGAAAAGCGTCCCTCAGGTCATAAGTCTTGTTTAAATATCTCAGAAATATCCCAAACTGAGATCATTATTGCTAATTACAAGATCATTTTTATGTAAACATGAAGGGTATTACCACGCATACTTCATCTCTTTTTAATTAAAAGAAGTAAGAGGTTCGCTGAGATAAAAAAAATAGACATGCTGACAGCTCCCACCCAAAAGCAGACTTTTCTGCAGTGATAACACCCATCAGCCTYCAGACCCACCAAGGAGACTGAAGAGGGAAATCAATCAGCATCAGCCTCCCCAGTGCTGAAAAGAAGTAGTTGGCACATTATTAATCACGCAGGGAAAACGTTTTACAAGGAGAAGGAAAGGACCAGACACACATAGGGGGATACACATGGATTCGGTCATGGCTGTCTTAAAAACACTTGGGAAAATCACACTAGTCACCAGCTGCAGGACTAAAATATTCAGAACTCTGAACAATAAACACATCAGCAATTCTGACTCCAGCAACACTTTAGCTGAAGCCCACACCAAACCTCATGTGCTTTCCTCCATTCAGACCCAGTTCCTGCTCCAAGCTGCACATCCTACCCATGCCAACCAGACTGGAGTACACCATGACACCGGAGTACATCATCACCAAGCGGTCATACCATTCTGCATTTCAAAGACCTACCCAGGAGCAACTTGCACATCACAGGCTACAAGAGATATGGCCATCCGGCTTAGGACACCAAAACAGTCAATGGCTTGACTTGCCATCCAATGGCTTAAACAAGCCATTCCTGCTGCACAATCCTGTTTCCAGCTGTCCTAAGCATTTCTCCAGCCTCTCCAGAGTTCACCAGTCCACTCTGACTTCTCATGGTCTCTTTTGTCTCCACCTAAGCTCTACTGCTGGAGGCAATTTAAAACACATCCCCAATCAGGACCTGTAAGGGCCAAAGGAGCCATCAGATGCACCTTCACTTGGGGTGAAGAGGCTGCACCCGTGGATGCCGCGCAGGGCAGCAGGGCAGAGGCAGCCTSGGCACGCCACAGAGCCCCGGCGGCGTGCGTCCCTAGGAGGGAGGGAGGTGTCACCAGCTCCGCAGAGCTGCATGCTCGCAGAACGGGGGAYCTCGCTCACTTGCTCACGGATGCACACAAATACCTGCGCCTCCGTCACCTGCCCGCCCCACCGCGCCTCGCCCCGGGCCTGCCGACGCCTGGCACCGCCACGGAGCTGGTCTCTCCTCCGGGGTGCGGAGCCCAGCAGRCACCTGCTTTGGCCAAGAGTGGGGAGCCTAGTGCTCCCCCTTGGAATCACCATAGAGGCGGTGTGGGAGATGCAAGGGGATGAGGGAAGACGGGTGCAGTGGGCTGCAAACTGGGGGTGCGAGGAAGAGGAGGTGAAGAGGGCTGCCACTAAAGGATATGGAGGGGGAGGGAGAGGGCAGGGGTGGGAAGGAAAGAGGGCTGCAGCTCGGGGGAGGGAGGACAGGAGGAGTGCACAACTGAGTGCAGAAGGAGGACGGGATGGAGGGCAGAGAGAATGGAGGGCAAATGGAGTGCGGAGGCTGTGGCTCGGTGGTACTCCACCACCCTCCCAGTCCGGCGGCCTGCCGGGGCTGGGGTCGGCAGGCAGCGCCCWGGCAGCAGAGTCATGGCGCGGCCAGGCGAGCAGGTGGGTGGCCRCCAGGGCCCCCGACAGCCCTGGGCCCCGCCGCCGCCCACGGGCCGAGGGTCCCTCCCGCCTCACCGCCGCCCCGGGCACGGCGGGGGCAGCCCCAGCACATCGGGGGTACGAACTCGGCGGCAAGGGGAGCAGCCCCRCTAACAGGTGGCGGCGGCGGCGCTGCCGACCCGTCCCCGCCGAGCCGGTGGGCGCTGCCCCTCCGCGACGGCGCGTCCCACCCACCCCGACCCAGCGCCAGCCCGCTCCCGGCGGTCACTCACCGGCTCGTCCACCCAGCCGGGCGGGATGCGCGTCCTGGAGAGCGGGGCGCGGAAGTTTAAACCCGGSTAAGAGTATTATTCGCGTTTGCCCTTCCAACGGAGGAAAAACCAAACTAGACKAGGCGCCCCCCCAGGCGGGCGAAACCCCGCTCCGCTCCTCCCCGCCGGGGGCTTCAGCCGCGCGTCGGCCCGGCGGCGAGGGGAAGTTTCCACCGCGGTGGTGGAGGCGCCCCCGGCGTGCCGCGCCCGCCCCGCATTGGCACGGGGCGCCGGGGCGCTGTGCCGCCGCCGCGCCCGGACAATGTGCGTGCGGGGGGAGCGGGAG